ACCGAAACGAGCATGAAAAGGAGTTTTCAGTGTGTTGGTCCGGAGCTAACCAAGTTTGGTCAGTCCCGGACCAAGTTGGTCAGATCAGGCGGTCCGGAAGCTCAGTTCGAGGTCATCTGTCCAGGTCTGGTCCGGCTGATCAAGAGTTGGTCAGCCCCTGACCAGACGCTGGGTCAGGCGGACCGAGGAGTGAACAGGCAAACCGAAAGAAGACCAGGAGACTTGGTCCGGAGCTGACCAAAACTTGGTCAGCCGGACCAAGGCTCCAGGTCAGACAGTCCGAAGGCAGCTGAGTAAGCCTGGTCCGCCGGACCAAGCTCCTGGTCCGGCGGACCGGGATCCAGAATTTTCCTAAAAATCGGATTTAAGGTTTTCTAAGCTTAATTAAGTTTGGGATTTCGTCCAAACTTAATTAAGGCCGCCCTAAAACTCAGAGAAACATCCTAGAACCCTAGAGAACTTGTTCTTTTCGATTTCTATTGTCCCGGGATTGGATCTCATCTCTTGAGTTACCCTTTTCTTCACTAGTCCTAGCAGATTCGTTCTAAATCGTTTGGAATCCTTCCCGTCGGTGTGGATACGTGTAGAGGGACTGTAACTTCAGTCCTAGGTGATTAAGAACAGGCCCCAGATCGAAATTAACTTCAAGTTACATCGAGAACGAGGTAAGTAACGATTCCTTCGGTGATATACACGATCATTCGGGTTTTATCAAGTTTGATTGCGTGTGACGTTTGACTAGGTTTAGATCTTTCTTCCGCTGCATTAAACCTAGTAAACCAAACCCTAGATCGATACGATCGCATGCTAGGAACCATAGATAAACCCTACAAGTGGGAGCACAGTTGTATTTCTAGTGCTGTACGTGGATGACATTCTCCTATTAGGGAATGACGTTCCTACCTTGCAAGACGTAAAGTCTTGGTTAGGAACGCAGTTTTCTATGAAGGACCTAGGAGAAACGGCCTATATTTTAGGCATTAAGATCTATAAAGATAGATCGAGGCGGTTTCTAGGATTGTGTTAGAGTACATACATCGATAAGGTCTTGAAACGGTTCAAGATGCAAGATTCCAAGAAAGGAACCTTACCGATGAGCAGTGGCACAGTTCTCTACAAGAGTCAGTGTCCTACGATACCTAATGAGCGAGAACGCATGGATCGTATTCCATATGCTTCGGCAATTGGATCGATCATGTATGTCATGCTTTGTACTCGACCGGATGTATCCTATGCGTTAAACATTACGAGTAGATACCAGTCAGATCCAGGTGAGTCACACTGGATCGCCGTCAAGAACATCCTGAAGTACTTGAGAAGAACTAAGGATGTGTTCTTGGTATACGGTGGGTCGGAAGACGAGCTCGCTGTAAAGGGTTACACCGATGCTAGTTTTCAATCAGACCCAGATGACTACAGATCGCAGTCTGGCTATGTTGTCTACTTGAACGGAGGCGCTGTTAGGTGGAAAAGTTTCAAGCAGGCGACCGTTGCAGATTCTACTACAGAAGCTGAGTATATTGCAGCGTCGGGCGCAGCAAAGGAAGCTGTTTGGATCAGAAAGTTTGTTGGCGACTTGGGTGTCATTCCTAGTGCTGATAGCCCCGTTGCCCTGTATTGTGACAACAATGGAGCGATCGCACAAGCGAAAGAACCCAGATCCCATCAACGATCCAAACACATACTCAGACGGTTTCACCTTATCAGGGAGATCATAGACAGAGGAGACATGCACATTTGCAGAGTGTCGACAGATGACAACATTGCCGATCCGTTGACGAAACATCTTCCTTCGTCGAAGCATGAGGGTCATGTTAGGGATATGGGCATTAGATGTTTAGCAGTCCATGATTAGAGCAAGTGGGAGATTGTTGGTTTAGTGTTCTATGATGAACTGTTGTATGAGCTTTCTTGTGATGCATTTGATGTATTGACACTTTTTATAGTTTATGGATGAGTGTTTGATTCATTACGTATTGTGCATGCTTTAATATGTTATGAAATCTATGTATTGTTATGAACAATACTAAACTCCTTAGTCATGTATCCTTATGGGAATAATGATATGCTAAGACTAGTATGATGTGTGATTGATGATCATATAGATGAACACAGGTATTGGATACGATCACGATCATAGGTATTCGTTGGAGAACGGAATACTGGATTGACCCACATGAGATTGTTACATGGACTAAGCGTCATGACTTGAATCTCATATGTCGGTTCCATGATGGGATCCTTAGACCTGAGATATCTACGGAATCCAACATGAGGAGTTGCGTACTTTGAATACGTCAAACGTCCTGCGTAACAGGATGACTATAAAGGCGTGTATCAGGTATGAAACGAGTCATATGCTGGATTGTAGATAGTCAAGATGGGATTTGTACCTCTCATAAAAGAGAGAGATATCGCTGGGCCCCTCGTGTGAGTGAGACTGTAGAAATGTGTGGCCGCACTATAGAAAAGCGTCGTCTATTTCTAACAGTCGAACTCAGTAAACGAGAAAGCAGTCGAATCAGATAAGGTGGCTTGTCCATGCCTTATGTTCGACATATGATATCGTGATACAACAGGATCATCAACCGGAATCATCACAGGTGTTCGTATGATCACGAACAAACTCTATTCGAGATAGGTAGTCATAGTGTCTTGCTAGAGACCGCCTATGACTTGTGTAACCAAAATAGAGATTTTGGGTTATACTGCTATATCGGATGAGCCTACAGGGTCACACACATATATAGGAAAGGACAAACACGCGAGAAAATACGAGAAAATTCCGGAGGATCCGAGTCCAGACCGAACGATCTATGTTGCGAGCATAGGGGCGGTACAGCCAAGCTAGACCGATCGGTCTAGACTGTCTACACCGACCGGTCTACGTCGTATAAATGGAGTCGGTCCAGCATGAGCTAGACCGATCGGTCTAGGCGTCGGAATTTCCTTGTTTCACTCAAAATAGGGTTTTAAAGGCATTAAAACCTAAGGAGCCGCCACTCCAACCTAAGAGCTCGTTTTTCAGACCTTTTTCAGAGGTTTTGAGAGAGAGAAATCTAAGGCTTTGATCCCTGAAATCCTTGCGCAAAGAAGAAGATGTTCTTCAGTCCTAGCAGACAAGTTCCAAGCGTTGGAATCCTTTCTGCCGTGTGGATACGTGTAGAGGGCGAGGTACTCTTCCTCACTTTCGTGATCAGACGAGTTCTTCGATTGATACAGGCCCCGGATCGATTGAGGTAAGCGTTCTGACGTTTCTACAAAATCATACATACATGGTTCTAGGGGTTTCTTAGAAAATTTTGTTTTACATCCGCTGCACAAACCCTAGAATCGATCTCTTAGGAATTAGATTCGCTCATGAGATCCCAAGAAAACCCAACAAAAGGTTCGCGGGTGTATTCAGAATCAGCCGGTAGTGGTCCTTATTGATTCGGGCACTACACATAATTTTATTTCCCCGAAGGTTGTGAGCCGTTTACAGCTGATTCCGGAAGACATCGCTGATTATGGAGTATCTTTAGGCACGGGAATCACAGTTCGAGGGGTTGCCATTTGCAGAAACATTTGTCTTCAGCTTCAGAATTGTGAGGTTCGATCAAACTTTCTTCTGCTCGACCTGGGTAGCGCAGACGTCATCCTCGGTATTCTATGGCTCCGGACACTTGGAAAAATTCAGTTTGATTTCGACAAATTGGAAATGAGATTTGATCGAGCAGGACAAGCGATTACATTGCAGGGGGACCCTCTTCTTCACAATTCCTTGGTGACCTTTAAATCTCTGTTGAAGTCGGTTTCACAGGGAGATGAAGGGTTTGTTATCAACTTTGATGCTGCATGTTATAGTTTACAATCTGCGGATCACATTCCCGGGGACTTGCAACCAGTTCTAACACAGTTGGCTGACGTGTCCGGGGAACCACAAGGCCTACCGCCTACTCGAGGGAATGAGCACTATATTCCTTTGCACCCAGGAATCGGTCCAGTCAGTGTACGGCCCTACCGGTACCTGCATGCCCACAAAGGCGAGATTGAGAAGCTGGTTACGAAAATGCTTCAGGCTGGCATCGTCAGGCCAAGCCAAAGTCCTTTCTCTAGCTCGATTCTTCTAGTTAGAAAGAAAAACGGCAGTTGGAGGTTTTGTGTTGATTATAGAGCGCTTAATAGGGTCACGGTTCCAAATAAGTGCCCTATCCCTGTTATTGATCAGCTTTTGGATGAGCTCTGTGGGGCACAGGTTTCCTCCAAATTGGATTTAAGATCGGGATACCATAAGATACGCATGAAGCCAGAGGACATTCCGAAAATGGCCTTTCGCACTCATGAAGGCCACTACGAATTTTTAGTCACGCCTTTCGGACTGACTAATGCTCTGGCTACTTTCCAGGCGATGATGCACGAGTTGTTCCGACCATTCTTACGTCGTTTTGTGTTAGTCTTTTTCGACGACATTTTGGTATATAGTAAATCCATGGCTGATCATGTCCTTCATTTAACAGATGTTCTCTCAGTTCTGCAGAAGCATAAGTTGTATGCAAATTTGTCGAAGTGCACTTTCAGCAAAACCCAAATTGACTATCTGGGACATATCATTTCCTGCGAAGGTGTGACGACAGATCCAGCGAAAACGGCGGCCATGAAGGAATGGCCTTGTCCAACTTCTATCCGAGAATTACGGGGGTTTTTGGGTCTCACGGGATATTATCGGCGATTTATTAAGAATTACGGAATTATTGCAAAATCCCTAACAGATTTACTGAAGAAGGACAACTTTGTATGGTCTTCTGCGGCTACTACGGCATTTCAGCAACTGATGGATGTAATGAGTTCTGCTCCTGTACTGGTACTTCCTGATTTTACTGACATTTTCATCTTGGAAGCTGACGCATCAGACTTTGGAATCGGAGACTGTTCTTATGCAAAAGCACAAGCCTATCGCTTTTTTTAGTCGTGCCTTGTCCGCCCGAGAACAACTGAAGTCGGTCTATGAGAGAGAATTAATGGCGATTGTGCTGGTAGTCCAAAGGTGGCGGCACTATCTCATGGGACGGAAATTTATTGTGCATACTGACCAACGAGCCCTCAAGTTCCTATTAGAACAGCGAGAGGTTTCATTGGAATATAAAAAGTGGTTGTCCAAATTGTTGGATTATGATTTTGACATAATCTACAAGCCAGGGATTGAAAACAAAGTTGCCGATGGGTTGTCAAGAAATGCTTCATCTGTTGCGTTAGCTTCAATGGCAGCATTGCTGGAGCTGTCCGTTCCGGCCTCAATTCACTTGGACGACATAGCCCGAGAGGTGAATACTGATCTGATCCTGTCAGCTATCAAGGACAGATTACGAACACACGTTGACGCCCCAAATGGTTATCACATACGCCAAGGCAATCTGCTCTTCAAAGACAGGTTCGTGATTCCATCGACCTCATCGTCTATTCCTTTGATACCTCAGGAATTCCATGACAGTCCACGAGGAGGTCATTCAGGGATTCTGAAAACTCTGAAACGGATTCAATCCATGTTCCATTGGGAAAGAATGAAGCAGGAAGTACAACAATATGTCGCTAAATGTTTGATTTGCCAGCAACAAAAGTATTCCACCTTGGCACCAGCAGGCTTGTTGCAACCACTGCCGATTCCGGACAAAATTTGGGAAGAATTGTCAATGGATTTTATTGAAGGTCTTCCCCGCTCCTTGGTGGTGATTGATAGATTGTCTAAGTATGACCACTTTTATTTGCTTGAAACATCCCTTCATGGCAGTGGATGTGGCTCGGGTATTTATTCGGGAGATCATTCGGCCTCATGGGTTCCCAAAATCTATTGTTTCCGACCATGATAGGATTTTTCTCTGCAATTTTTGGCAGGAATTGTTTTGCCTCGCTGGGACCAAATTGCGATTTAGCACTGCCTTTCACCCTCAGTCGAATGGGCAATCGGAAGTGGTGGATCGCTGCATTGAGACCTACCTAAGGTGTTATGCTGGTAGTCATCCCCGTCAGTGGTCCAAATTCCTTCCTTGGGCAGAATTATGGTACAATAGTTCCTTTCATACCTCTTTGAAAACTACTCCATTCACAGTTGTTTGTGGTCGGGAACCCCCGACTTTGATACGTTATGAGGTGGGTTCAACAGCGAACTTCGAGTTAGAACGAGAATTATGTGATCGGGATGCCATACTCGTAGAGCTCAAGCAACATTTGGCGCGTGCTCAGCAAAGGATGATTGCGCAAGCTGATGGCCACAAAAGAGATGTTACTTTCGAACCGGGGGAATGGGTATTCCTCAAACTCAGATCCTATCGACAATCTTCTTTGGCTCGGCGTCCTTTCACTACAAAAAAACATGCCAATTTCAACGGATAAATCCGTTGAAAATGACCTGCAATCCGTTGAAATTGTATAATTTCAACGAATTTTCAACATATAAATTCCGTTGCAATATCGTCGTTGAAAAAATTATTTCGTTGAAAGCCGTTGAAAATATCAACGGAATTTCAACGGCATTATCCGTTGAAAATATCAACGGAATTTCAACGGAATTATCCATTGAATTTTTTCAACGGAATTTGCATCTAAAATCCGTTGATATTTTTCAACGGAGTTTTCAACCAAAATTCGTTGATAATTTCAACGGATTTTGCAACCGAAATCCGTTGAAAATTTAACGAAAATTTTAAAACGTATTCTCGATCTCGAACTCATACTGCCTCGACCCCGATTTGACCCCGACCCCTAACCCGAATCCGATTTAATCTGAACTTTGTCTCCGTATCCAATTTGACTTCGGAAACTCTGAAATCGGAACTCGAAATCCGGTTCCCAATAGGTCACCCATCCTTCCACTGCTCCAGCACGAGCACGCTTAACTGCACAGTTCTGATTAACACATTTCCAACTGCTCCAAGTTAAATTTCTGATATAACAGAACATTAATACATATACATATACAAATGTTAATATGTATAAATAGTTAAACACATATATACATTTATACATATATATATATATATATATATATAAATACTTATACATATGTGTATACAAGTATAAACATTTATATATATACTTATAAATAATTATACATATTTATTCGTATATATATAATATATACCGTATCTAACATATCATTATAGTATAAAATACATATATATACAATATATACATATTTATATGTAGCAATATTTATATTTATATATATACATGTTTAAACATATATACGTATACATAAAATATTGTTTATATGTATAAATATATATATATATATCCAATCGATTTTCCAAACAAAATCCGTTGAAAAGTTCAACCGATTTTTTCAACCAAAATTCTTCTAAATTTCGTAAATAATTTCAACCGATATCCATTGAAATTCCGTTAAAAATTTCAACCGATTTTTTCAACCAAAATCCGTTGAAAATTGCAACAGATTTCCGTTGAAATATCATTTTTCAACCAATATCCGTTGAAATTCCGTTGAAAATTTCAACCGATTTTTTCAACCGAAATCCATTGATTTTGTCAACCGAAATCCGTTGAATTTTTCAACCGAAATCCGTTGGAATTTCGTTGAAATGTTTCAACGACATTTTCAACGGCAATCCGTTAAAATTATCAACGAAATTTTAACGGATTTTATCGTTGAAATGCCGTTGAAATTCGTTGAAATTTCGTTGAAAAATTTTCAACGGATTTATCCGTTGAAAAATTTTCAACGGATTTATCCGTTGAAAATCGCGTGTTTTTTGGTAGTGTTTTCAGAAGCTAGCTGTCAGATTTTATGGGCCATATGAGATTCATGCAAGGGTTGGACAGGTAGCGTATCGTCTCAACCTACCCCAGAGGCGAAGATTCATCCGGTTTTTCATGTGTCACAACTCAAGAAGGCAGTTGGGGATGAGTTTCAGTCTGTCATACTTCCTCCGCAGCTCTCCGCTAACCTTCAATTCCTGACAGAACCAAAGTTTGTATTGGATAGCTGCTACGATCCCCAGGGGTTACTAGAGGTTCTCATCGAGTGGGAAGGGCTGCCGAAGCACGATGCGACTTGGGAGATTGGGGAACTCTTCAACGCTCAGTTTCCGACATTTAAGCTTGAGGACAAGCTTCGTCTTCAAGGCGGGGGTGTTGATAAACCTTTTCGGGCTTATGTAAGGCGTCGATCCAGAAAGAGAGGAGCTGAGGATCAAATCGGGGAGCATGGAGGCAAACGATCAAAGAGGAAGCTGAATTAAGCGGAGCTGGGACCCACCCATGGAAGGATATCACAACAGAAGAATATTCCAGAGTTTGTTAACCACGGTTGTTATTAAATAAGGTCATGTCGTGTGTGTGCTAGGCCACCTCAGCAAGTTTTTTGAAGGAGGGCTATATCTGTTCCATTTCATCCTTGGGGGGATTTTATCCGAAATCTGAGAATTGTAAGGGGGGAGAGAGTTTTTTCTCTTGACGGTGTATTTTTCTTTGCGAAGGGAAATACAATATGAGGTTTTCTTTACAAGTTCTTATTAGCGAGACTCGATGGAGATGATCCGACAGAGCTCGGATCTCATGAACAAGGTCCGAATCCTCTTCAGTTTCTATGGCGCCGACACCGGAGATTTGTCGGGTCATCATTGTGGACCGGTTTTTTATCTTAAACCCGGTTTGTTAAATTCGGTTTATCGAAGAACCGAAAATTTTATATATGGCAGCAATTTTCTGAGTTGACTCGACACGTCATGCGCCACATCGGATCGTTCAACGCATTTTTTTGACCAATTAATGTTAAAAACGATTATAGAACTTTTTAACAAATTCAGTAATTAGCATGTTCAATTTTACAAGTTCGGAAATTAATAAACATCTTTAAAAATTTAAAAATTAATATTATACCAAAATATAAATTCAAAATTTTTAAAAAAGAAGAGTATAACTGGACGCCGCTTGTTAATTTTTTTAAATAATTGTTTTTCCTCAACGTGCCTGTCTCACCTCTCTCACAAACTCGCCCACTTTATCCCCTTCAATTTTCATCGTTTCGTTTTTTCCAGAAACTCTTCCTAAAATTAAAAAAAAAAAAAAGATTTTCAGGGATTGCACCGCGTGATATCTCCGAGGCGCGCGACTCACGCCTTGTACAGGACGCGCAGAAGACGCTTCCGGTATTACGCCTTGCGAATTTCTGTATGATTTTGTGAGACATAACAAGTTTTAGCTAGAATTCGATATGAACTTCTCGGGACTTTGCTTTTAGTTAAGGGTTTTGGTGTTATGGCTATCCCTCTATGTGTTTTTTGGGTTTCAAAACTTTGAACATCATTCCTGATTATGGCTTGGAATCTTGGATTTATGGGGAGAACTTAGATGTCTTCGGTCGAAAACAGCTATAGTGTTTTGCATTTGCTTGGCTTGAGGAATAATTGACATGAATGTAGAAGTTCAAAAACTCAAGATTATTATCCAAAACGAGATGCTATGGAGATTCAACCAGTCGATAATAATGGGCATTTGGATAATTATAACAGCCCCAAATGGCTCGAGCTCTGCTGCATCCATATAGTGGTAGAATATGGGCTTCTTTATCCAATGTGACCAAAAAGGATGGCCATTCGGACTCTACAGTCTTGGTTCTGGGTGGAACTGGTCGGGTCGGTGGATCCACTACTGTCGCTCTCTCCAAGCTTTGTCCTGATCTAAAGATCGTCGTTGGTGGTCGTAACAGGTTACCGAAATTACTCTCCTTTCGTGTTGTAAGACTTTCTTGCTTTCTGTGATTTGTTTAGAGCTTGTTAAATTATATTTTGATTTGATTTATTTCTCTCTTTCACAGGTTTAGTTTTTTTCTGGTTGGAAAAGGTTTAATTGATTGGAACTGAACTGATTCAGATTAGTTAATTTTGTTCGGGATCTGTTTAATCCAGATTAGTTAACTTTGAACTCGATCAAAGCTGCGTCGGTCATCAATGTTGTAATATAGTTTTAATCTTTTGGTTTGGTTTCATCAGATTCGGTTCAAATCGTTTTGTTTATGCGTATATTGTTCATGAGCTGCGGTTACGCTCTCTTATTGTCTGTCCATTATATCGGCAAAAGTCTTCTTGGAAAGCACATAAAGCTCCCGCTACCTCTAATGTATCCAACAATTTGTTTATTTATAATTTGAGTATTTTGAGCACTTCTTACATGAGGCTTTGTTCTTGAAATCTGTCAAAATAATTATTAGCTTTATAGCAAACGTTTTCACAAGTTTACATATATAATAACGGATTGGATTATTGGTCATACTAGATCCTGAAATGATTGGTTACAAGGAAACCTTGAAATCGGACAGATTTTTCTTTCTTTGATACACAAGTTTAACGACTCTGGTTTCAACTAATCTTAGTTTGTATATTCAATTTTTTTGTGTCATTAAACTCTTGAATGCAGAGAAAAAGGTGAAGCAATGGTGGCGAAGTTGGGCAAGAATTCTGAGTTTGTTGAAGTAGATATCACCAGCACTAGATCACTAGAGAAAAGTCTACGAGGTTTGGTTTCTATATTTTATGAAAATAGCTATGATCATGCAAAAATTCAAAAAAGCATACAGATGTTTTGAAATTGTTATGCTCAATAATGAAAAAAGAAATAGTTGGTTAGGGCTCGTAAGCAAAAATTGTTGCCAATGATTACAATTGAATTTGCTAGATGAGAAGTTGGATATAGGCTAGTGACTGTCAAGAATGGACGAATCTAGAAGTTGTTATAGGTAGGTTGTGTATTGAATTTGAATGAGAAGTAATCACAAGGATTAGATATACGAATATAATAATTGGAATTTTTCTCTCGTTTTTATGGTGTAATTGATGCTTTTGGTATTTATATGATTAACAGAAAAACATATGGCATTTTCTGTTAAGTGGAACCAATGCTTGATTTGGATGTAAGTAACTCAAGTTAAGGGTTCTTTCTGATGGCAATCCGATTGCTGACAACGATTGAAACTTACATTTGTATGATTCAATTAGATGCCGTTTGGTTAGTGGTTGGTCAAGAGAGATGATCGAATGTGTTGTGCAATAGTTAGCTTAGCGGTAGAGTTTCAGCACCAGCACAGCACATTCGACTGATAAATTAGGAATTGCATTGATACTAATGAAAGCTGTGATCTTTTGGAATAGATAGCGATATTCTAAGGTGTTATATATCTGCATTTTTGCTTAACAAGTTCCAATTTATTTTGGAATATTCACTGTGGAGTTTGTGGATCCAGATGTTGATCTTGTAGTCCATGCCGCGGGCCCTTTCCAACAACTTCAGCAATGCACTGTTCTTGAAGCTGCCATAAAGACAAAGGTGAGGATAAGGTAACTATTTTTTCTGCTTCACCACTCTTGTCTTTTCTTGCCCGAATCGACAATTTGTCTTGCTTGATGTGATCTTATTAGGAGAATAATTTTACCTACATTTTTGTGAGTTATGTTTGAAACAGACAGCATATGTTGATGTTTGCGACGACACAAACTATGCCTTTCGCGCGAAATCCCTTGGTGCTGAGGCAGTTTCCGCAAACGTCCCGGCAATAACCACTGCTGGAATATATCCAGGAGTCAGCAATGGTGTAAAATTTTGGACATGGCTCTCTAATGCTTTGCTGTTTGTATACTCCTGGGAGATTTGGACACGAGAAATGCTGGAACTGGAAGTAATGGTCATCTATTATGTCAATGAACTAATTATGTTTCTTTTTGACAGTGATGGCAGCAGAACTGGTTCATGCAGCAACAAGTGAAAGCAAAGGGACCCCAGAGAAGTTGAGGTGAATATACGAACTTTCTGATATCTTTATCATGGAAACACTTGTCGAGGCCATGCTTTAACCCCGGTTTTGTTTGTTGTGCACATTCTTTGTGCAAGAGCTTAAACTTTACCACTGAACATGGCGTAGGAACACAATTTCAGTAGTGGGTTTCTCAAACATATATTAGATCTCCTGGTATTTCTTGCTTTCAAATTTTGGTACAGTTCACACTCGCACTATTACCTCTGAGAAATGGATTAACGAAAGTCCACTACGGAGCGAAGACATCCAACCCCTGAGGGTGGTAGCCTCTTGGACGAAAGAAGCTGCGTTCGTTCAACCATTAAACTATAGACTGGCAGACAACACAGACAGAAGCCAACTTGCCAAACTGTATGCAACCACCGACTTATTGTGAGGTTGTGTGTGGATTATGTTAAGGTTCAGACCTCGGATTCCTCAGCTGGAGAAGAACTGCCCAGCTTTATTGATCATCGAAAACAGGTACAACTTGGATGACTTTGATTTGAGAGAGGTCCCCACTCTCTTCCCCTTACAATTCTTCACTAGAAATTGCCTAAAACCCTTCAATCCCTCCTCTACACTATTTATACAATCCCATCCTAACAGAATTACTAACAGCTAACCACATTCCTAACTATAACAGACTATACAGCTGTTCATTCACAACTACTAACCAACTATGCAACAAACACAATCAACATATACTATCCTTATACACAAACACACAAACAATCCAAAAGCAGCGTACCTTACTCTTCAGATGTCCCTTCTTGCTTCAGCTCCTCTCTCCTGTCCCTCCAGCTCCTTCTTCAGCCACTTCTTCAGCTCCTCCCTCTTGATCTTCATCATTTACTGCTTCCTTTCCTCTCTTCCTGCCTCTGACGTAAACCCTGAAGTACTTATCAATACTCCCCCCTTTCTGTCTCAGCTTGTCCTCAAGCTGAAAACTAGGAAATTTCTTGTTGAAATCTTCAGCCACTTCCCACGTATTTTCATGTTCTGGTAAGTCCTGCCATTCAACCAAAACTTCCAACCAACCCTCTTTAGTATACCTGGAATCCTTGATGTCTTTCGGCTGAACTTGTAGTTCCAGCTCTCTTGTCAACTGTTTTGCTAATTGGTTTGGTTGAAGAATACTTCCCAAAGCCTTTTTAAGCTGTGAAATATGAAACACAGGATGAATGTTGCAACCCTTAGGTAACTTCAGTTTATATGCTACCTCTCCTATCCTGCTTTCTATTTGAAAAGGGCCATAATATCGAGCAGCTAGCTTCTGATTAGTCCTTGCTGCCAGTGTGTTCTGCCTGTATGGTCTGATTTTCAAATAAACCCACTCTCCAACTGTTAATGTCAGATCTCGTCTTCCTTTATCAGCTGATACTTTCATTCTCTGTTGAGCTACTTGAAGTTTCTGCTTGACCTCCAATATCATTCTATCCCTTTCTCTTAGTGCTTTTTCCAATTCAAAATTCGAAGTAGATCCCTCCTCGTACTTCAGTAATGTAGGTGGCTCCCTTCCATACACAATCTGAAATGGTGTGGACTGTAATGCTGTGGAAAGAAGTGTTGTACCAAAACTCTGCCCAACTCAGAAATTGAATCCATTTCCTGGGATGATCATTAGCATAACACCTCAAATATGTCTCCAAGCATTTGTTTAATACCTCTGTTTGCCCATCTGTTTGTGGATGATATGCTGTACTAAACTTTAATTTGGTGCCTGCTATCCGAAATAATTCCGACCAAAAGTTGCTGAGAAATACCTTGTCTCTGTCTGACACTATGGATTTTGGAAACCCATGTAGCCTGACTACCTCCTGTACAAAAACCTTAGCAACCACCATAGCTGAAAACGGATGTTTTAAAGCTATGAAGTGAGCACACTTGCTCAATCTGTCAACTACTACCAGCACTACATTATAACCTGCTGATCTTGGTAACCCTTCAATGAAATCCATTGAAATGTCCTCCCAAATGTGTTCTGGAATCGGTAATGGCTGCAACAGACCTGCTGGAGCCAAGGTTGAATATTTTTGGCTTTGACAGACTGCACATTCAGCCACATATTTCTTAATATCAGCTTTCATTCCCACCCAATGAAACATCTCCTGTATCCTCTTTAGTGTTCTCAATACCCCTGAATGCCCTCCCATCTTACTGTCATGGAACTCGGCCAGAATTGTAGGAATGAAACTTGAATGTTTGGAAACTACTAACCTGTTTTTATATCTTAGCATGCCTTGTAGCAAATGATACTTTCCCACTTTGGTTTCTCCATCCTTCAGCTTGTCAACGATCTCCTTTAAGTCACTGTCTTCTCTAATTTCTTTCTCTATCTCCACCAGTTGTATATTTCTTGGGATAGTTATGGCTAACCCCATACATGTTGGTTCCAGAATCTCGTTGTGTGGCATTCTGGACAGGTCATCAGCTGCCTTATTCTCCACTCCTGGCCTGTAAACAATTTGAAAATCATATCCCAGTAGTTTAGTCAACCAACGTTGGTATTCCATACTCACCTCGCGTTGTTCCAGTAAGAATTTTAAGGCTTTCTGGTCTGTACAAACCAGAAAACTTCTACCCAATAGGTAGTGTCTCCAACGTTGGATAGAGAGAACCACTGCCATTAATTCCCTCTCATAGACTGGTTTCAATCTCTCCCTCTCAGACAGAGCCTGACTAAAGAAGGCAATTGGCCGATGCTTCTGCATTAGGACTGCTCCGATGCCAAATCCCGAGGCATCCGTTTCAACCACAAACTCTTCACGAAAATCTGGTAATCCCAGAACTGGAACAGATGTCATAGCCTGCTTTAGTTTCCTAAATGCACTCGAAGCATCTTCAGACCAATTAAACCCATCTTTCTTTAGTAGATCTGTCAAGGGACGAGCTATGGTGCCATAGTTCTGTACAAAGCGTCTGTAATACCCTGTCAGCCCCAGAAATCCTCTTAGTTCCTTCACATTGCTTGGGGTTGGCCACTTTTGCATTGCTGCTGTCTTAGCTGGGTCTGTAGATACACCCTCTTGAGAAATTATATGCCCCAGATAGTCTATCTGTTGTCTCCCAAACTCACACTTCTTTTTGTTAGCGTATAGCTTGTGTTTCTGTAATACAGCTAGCACCATCTGCAGATGTGTTGCATGATCCTTTAGTGAGCAGCTGTATACCAAAATGTCATCAAAAAATACTAACACAAACTTCCTGAGGTAAGGTCTGAAAATCTCGTTCATTAATGCTTGGAATGTTGCTGGAGCATTAGTAAGGCCAAAAGGCATTACTAAAAACTCATAGTGCCCATCATGTGTTCTGAATGCTGTCTTGGGAATGTCCTCTGTCTTCATTCTGATCTGATGGTACCCTGATCTCAAGTCCAACTTTGAAAACACCCTTGCTCCATGTAGTTCATCCAACAGTTGGTCTATCATTGGTATTGGAAATTTGTCCAATACTGTGACTTTGTTCAGCGCTCTGTAGTCGATGCAAAACCTCCAGCTACCATCTTTCTTTTTAACTAGTAACACTGGACTTGAAAAAGGGCTCTGGCTCGGTCTCACTATGCCTGCCTTCAACATATCCTTCACTAACTTCTCAATCTCTTCTTTGTGTGCATGGGGGTATCTATAAGGTCTGACACTTACTGGACCTGTTCCTTCTTTGAGATTTATTGGATGCTCTCTACCCCTTACTGGTGGTAATTCAGTAGGAATTTCAAACACTGGTCCAAACTCTTCCAGCTGTAACCTCTCTGGAAGATTTGAGTCAGCCCTCACCCGCTCTTCTAATGTTTCCAGCTTAACTAAGTAGCTCTGATCTCCTTCACAAACTGATTTGATCAATGATCTCAAAGTTACTAATGAATTTATGTAGAGTTGGATCACCTGTTACTGTAACCCATGATGTGCCTTGATTGAACTTCAACTCCAGATCCTGAAAATCCATCTGAACTTTTCCCAGCTTCTGTAACCACTGTACTCCCAAAATCAAATCAGCACTTCCCAATTCCAATGGTAAGAAATCTTCTACTACTTCTATCTGTTGCAATTGTAAATGTACTGCCTTACAAATCCCTTTTCCTTTTACCTTCATACCTGTTCCCAAAGATACTCCAAATTGAGTGTTACCTTCAGGCCTTAATTTCAGCTTCGTCATTAACTTCAAGGATATGAAGTTATGAGTGGCTCCACTGTCAATCAACACTACTACCTCCTGGTCTTCTACTGATCCTCGGATCTTAAGTGTTTTTGGTGAAGTTAGCCCCACTACTGAGTTGAGTGATAGCTTAGCAAACTCTCCCTCCTCCTCTCTGTTTCCTTCTTCATTATCCTGCTCCTCTTCCAACTCCTCCCCTGTTTCCGTTATTTCCTCAGCTAAAATCACTTGTAACTCCTTCTGTTTGCATCTGTGTCCCACAAAAAACTTCTCATCACACCTGAAACACAGTCCCTTCTTCCTTTTTTCTTCAAATTCAGCATCAGACATTCTTTTGAATGTTGATTTCTTTTCTTGAACCCCACCCTCTTCTTTTGGTCCTTTTCCTCCACTGATCTGTCTTCCTCGTTCTTGAAAATTGCTCTTGTATGATTGGTTCTAGTATTTCTGGTTTTCAGTAGGTACTGAAACTGTTCTGAATGATGAGCCTGTATATCCCATCTTCCAGTTCTTTCCATCACTTCCTCCTTTTCCTCCACACACCGCACTTAACTTGCTGCCTTCAATACTTAGTGCTACATCTACGATTTCTTCCATGCCTTTAGGTCGAAATATCTGTAATATCTCCAGTATTTCTGGTTTCAATCCATTTTTGAATGTACTCTCTACCATTTCTTCAGGAGTATGAGGTACTTGAGCTAATAATTCTTCAAACTCACAAAGGTATTCTTCTACCGTACATGTTTGTCTCAATGACAGTAGTCTGTCGAAAGGTGAGCCCAGCTTCCTTCCACCAAATCTTCTCCTTATCCTTTCTCTAACGTCTGCCCAATCCTTGAATGGTTTCTTCCCATTCTGATAGTCATACCAGCTCAATACATGTCCATCGATGCACATAGCAGCTAATCTCAGTTTCTCGTTTTCTGAACATTGTCCCATTGAGAAATACCTTTCAGCTCTTGTGATCCATGCATTCACATTTGCTCCCTCAAATACTGGCATCTCGATCCTTTTGAAATGTGTACTGCTGCTTCCAGTGAATCGATCTTGTTGATACTTGTCACTATCTCTTTCTGTTCGATGTGTCGCGTTTCGCACCTCTTGATCACCTTCCTGTGCTTGATCGCTTCCTTCTTCTGGTTCTGGATTGCATGTCGCATCTGGAATTGCCTCGCGATTCCCCTGCGAGCTCTGCTGATGATTTATCGGTTGTGGACTCACATTTTGCTCAGATTCCTGCCGATCCTGGTTACCTGCTAGCATTTGGCATAGTTTCGATAGCATTGACTCCATCGAATCTATCCTTGCACATTGTTTCTCCAGGTACTCCATTTTGGAACACTGCTTCTGTAATTCCTCCATCTTTTCGTATTGTTTCTGTAACTCCGCCATTGTTTCTTCGATCTTCTCGCATCTGTCATTTGTTCTAACCTCCACTTGTTCCTTTCTTTGCGCGTTGTTCTTCGTCATTGATGAGACTTGCTCTGATACCAATTTGTTAAGGTTCAGACCTCGGATTCCTCAGCTGGAGAAGAACTGCCCAGCTTTATTGATCACCGAAAACAGGTACAACTTGGATGACTTTGATTTGAGAGAGGTCCCCACTCTCTTCCCCTTACAATTCTTCACTAGAAATTGCCTAAAACCCTTCAATCCCTCCTCTACACTATTTATACAATCCCATCCTAACAGAATTACTAACAGCTAACCACATTCCTAACTATAACAGACTATACAGCTGTTCATTCACAACTACTAACCAACTATGCAACAAACACAATCAACATATACTATCCTTATACACAAACACACAAACAATCCAAAAGCAGCGTACCTTACTCTTCAGATGTCCCTTCTTGCTTCAGCTCCTCTCTCCTGTCCCTCCAGCTCCTTCTTCAGCCACTTCTTCAGCTCCTCCCTCTTGATCTTCATCATTTACTGCTTCCTTTCCTCTCTTCCTACCTCTGACGTAAACCCTGAAGTACTTATCAGATTACGAGCAACTCGAACTGCCAGAAAGAGCGGAAAGTCATCCTTCCTCCTTCTACTCGGCCTTTAGACTCACCGAAGGATAGCGGAGAGGACAATGGCACTAACACGGGATCCACCGAGGGACCAAGCAGAGCAGCCGCCAAGGTACATTCATGGGATTATTTTAGGAATTTTGCCGCCAATGGGGTTATGCTGTTGGGTACCAACAAACCAAAGCAAATGAAGACTACGACGTAAAATCCCAGCAACTGAAAGGGGAGACGCAAATAATAGAGGCTGAGACGACTAAGTCCGATTCGTGATGCTCAATATGACCCGTGCCTCTGACGATTCAAGGCAAGCACTTGGTGCAAGGAAGGTCGTTGATAGCTGCGGTAACGAGCGACAGAAGACAACATCAGACCAACCGACTGAGAAACCGACGATGTCGGTACAACAACGACAACCGACATGTATCGGAATGGGGGCAAAAGAATGCAACGATAGAACATCGGACTTTTGCCAGCCAAGGAGGAATTAGCAATCATAAGGGTTCATCCAAGGCTCCTAATCTCTAGGGATCTTGATTGATAGGTTCTGATATTTCGGGTAGTTAGATATTTAGCGAATATTGCGGTTTTCTAAAGGGACTTGACTCTTTATTTTCCGATCAAAGTATTAGTATTTTGATCATCTGAGTAGGAGGCTATTCACCCCTCGAACGGTGTATCGGGTTCAAGCCCCGTAAGTGCTGGCAAACTCTTGTTTTTCTTTCATTTACTTGTCTCCCTTTTATTCTTGCTTCGTGTTTGTGTTATTTTTTGGACAGGCTCGACTCTTAATCAATCAGAATAGTAATCAGGGCTGATCAAATATAATCTCCTAACTATTGGTAAATAGACTTAAAATCGAGTCAACAACTACTACCATATCTTATGGTTGTTGCAGTAAAACTCTTGAAGCAAACTTCTCTCAAGTTTGATCGAGAGTATATGGCTTCTATATTATTGCGAGTCGTCGGTTTTATTGAAGTAAAACTAGTTGAAGGAGATTTCGTTTCAGGTTCTCTTACTACACGGCAGGCAGTGGTGGTGCCGGTCCTACCATATTAGCCACGAGCTTTTTACTTCTCGGTGAAGAAGTTACTGCATATAACAAAGGTAAGTGGTGCAAAACTCCATTGGAGGGCTAACACACACGGCACAACCTCCGTAACTCATCCTTGTCTCGCGGGGCTTTCATCAGGAGAAAAGGTTAAAATGAAACCATACAGCGGAATGATCAATGTAGATTTTGGGAAAGGTATCCGAAAGAAAGATGTTTATCTACTGTAAGTTGCTCGATCCAGAAAGTTCATTGTTGTTTGGATAACGGTTTTCTTAGAAAAAACGATTATTTTTCAAGAAACCTGCCGGAAGTAAGAACGGCACACGAAGTTCTTGGAGTGCCTACAGTCTGTGCCCGTTTTGGGACTGCTCCATTTTTCTGGAACTGGGGAATGGAGGCCATGACAAAGCTTTTATCCCCGGTATTATGCGTAAACCTCAACTGGTAGATTGACGCGAATGTGCTCATGGTTTTATATGTTCAATTTATGAAGTCTATGGGCTAAATATAGAATTTGACGCAAATGTGCTCATAGTTCTTGTTTCCTGTGATCAACGACAAGATAAAACCGTACTGCAATCACGTTACAATGTTTATTTTGCTTGATGCAGGAATATCTAAGAGACAGGACCAAAGTCCAGAAACTGGTCCAGTTGTTTGACCCTGTCGTCAGAGCCATAGATGGAATTGCTGGAGAACGCGTGTCGATGAGGGTACGATGCAAACAGAGTTTTGAACTGCAAAATATTTTAACGGCAAATCTCTCGTCTCTGCTTCGTTTTCTCATCTTATACCTCATTCAACAGGTTGACTTGGAGTGCTCGGATGGGCGGAGCACAGTGGGTGTATTTAGTCACAAAAAGCTCTCTGTGTTAGTCTACCCCAAAAAACTTTGATATACAGTCATAGGAATGATTTGGAAATGTTGCAAATTTCGAAAGATATAACTCAAAATCGGAATGAGCTGAAATGAAGAATTCATGTGGTTGATCCCAAATAAACTTGGGAGTAAGGCGATGTTACTGAATGCATTAACCAACTCCGACCCCAAGTGTTTTTGTGTCGAAATAGCATCGATGCGCATCTCTCTCAACCAAATGGCTATATATATATATATATATATATATATATATATATTCATGGAATCATCAAGTGATTATGCTCTCTGGTGTTTGTTCTTGTCAGGTCTGTTGGAGTTGCAACTTCAGCTTTTGTTCTTGCAGTTCTCGAAGGAAGCACGCAGCCTGGGGTTTGGTTTCCGGAAGAGGTAACTTAGTTACGGAGTGGATTACAAAAGCTATTTTCGTTGAGAATTTTACGCACATCGTTATATATATGTCTATGAAGCCCCAAGGGATTGGCATAGACGCGAGGGAAGCTCTTCTTAGACGTGCGTCCCAAGGAACGTTCAACTTCGTTATGAACAAGTTAGCACTCGTCCTTTATATCTTCTCGTTTTTCATTTTCTCGTCTCTATTTTTGGTTATTATCAATTTAGCCCCATCTTATTTTGATTTCTTTTTTCTTTTTTTAAAGGCCGCCGTGGATGGTTGAAACAGACCCGAAAGAAGTCGGCTTAGGGATTTATGTTTAAATGTTATCCAGTAACATCGTCGCGAGCGTTTCTTATATGTTCGCAGATGTTTCGATGCCTAGTGTTTATAAATGGGATTGGAGAGTAGGTTATTTAATTCAGATGGATAGAGTAATACCTCGTATTCGATATAAATTATTAAAATCAGACTAACCGAAATTTAACAACAATAACATCACTTTAATTTTAAGTTTATTTGGAGTCGGTTGCATGAATTTTTCGATCTCTATCGATTCCGATTTTAGGTTAAATATTCCAAAATTTATTACAATTGAGTGACTATTAAGTCGTATTTTTTTTTAATATTTTCATTTCGAATTTTATGCACTTTTGTATTTTTATCATTCGTAAATAAAAATAACAGGGTATTCCTAACAAAATATTTTATACAGATAAGGGGAATCAAAGCTCCGAGTCTGGCAGTCACGAAATCCCCGCTACAGGATTCGAACGCAGCACCACAAGAACAACGCGCCACTATGACTGTCTTGGCTTTGACCTTTTGTAACTAGGGGTGAGCTTTTTCGATACGGTTATTTTTAGAAAATTGAATTTTCCGAATTTTAAAAACCCATAAACAACCGAAATTTTTTTGAAAATATCTAATTTTTTTAATAAATATCAGAACAAAAATCAAATTAAATCGAATATGATATAATAACCGAATGTTATATATTTTTTATACAATCGAAAGAATCAAACCGAGTTACAAACTGAATACCAATCCATTTTGAAACATTACTTTTTGATATATAATTCACTATTTTACCAAAAAATAAAAATAAAAACAAAATAATTCTGATTAAAATAGTATATGGTGCTAAGATAACTTGCGACACACACCGAGATGACACGTGTATCAAAATAAAACATATATACCTCAAATATTGCATATGCCAGAAATAAGCCCCAGATTTGCTCATTGAATATTATTATGCTTATCACACAATTCTTATTTTCCTTGTACGCTACAAATAGGATCACACCAAAACTCGATGTCTAATTAGCATGTTATATGAAGCTGCAATTATATATTATTTATATGATATAAACATATGAGAAGGATCTCGTAATTATCTACACATTATATATATATATATATATATATATATATTCCAATGAGAATTAGAGAACTATGAGAGAGCAGTAGGTTCTTACTATAATTTCAAAAAAAAATTATTTTCTTCGCAACTTTAAAATAGAATCACCTCAAAAACTCAATATGTAATTTACATATTACAACTTGTTAATTATGTATAATATGATATAAAAGATATGGAAAAGATCTCGTCATTATCTCTCACTCCTATTCGATATATATAATTATCTTCCGAGAACTGGGGAAATATGAGAGAGCCGGTTCTTGGACTTGTAGATCTCTTTTCTCCTCTGCCTTGCGAGAGCAGCGGCCGTTGATTTCGCAACCCTCAAATCTGACGGCTGATAAATGTCCACGTCATTAACATGATAAAACTTACCACGTGGTTGACTTCTCACTGGTACTGATTCGCTGTATCCATATACATATGACCCTTCAATGCGCCCATTGTGAACCGTTGGATGTACGATCGACTGCTGCGGAAGCGCTCGCTGATCACCGCCGTCCACTTTGTCGCCGGCCAGTAACTTTCGAATGAATTGACCAGGAGAAGTTAATATCTGAAAAAAAAAAAGAAAAGAAAATTAGTAGAATTCGAGAAATTCTCCCCTTTTCATAATTCAGTATACTAAAAAATGTTAATTAGAAAAGGAAGAATAAGAAATAAAACAATAATATATGAAATTTTAAAAAAAATCACCATTCCCAGAACTTGATTTTCGGTGGTTAATTCTTCCATGGCGTTCAACAACAATCTATCTCTCTTCTGTACGACAGAACAAACGCAATGGGCTAAACAAGTCATTCAACAACTCTAAAAAATCATCCGCAGAATATATTAAAGTGATGAAAATAAAACATTAATGTGATGAAATACGGAAGATCAGGCAAAATACCATCTTAATACGGAGTCCGCTCGCAGCGAGATTTTGTCCGGCGGTGGGGGTGGATTCCACGTCAGTTTTCTGTAAGATCAACGGCAGCGATCGTCTCCGCCGACCGAGCGACCTGTGTCTTCTCGTCGCCCAAGAGAAGGTAAATCCACGCGTCGCCGCGGTTCCGTAGTGGGATTTGTTGAGTGTCAGCAGAATCTCGGCGACCTCAAAGTCGTCGCTGGTGGAGACAAGATACATGTCACCGTTCTCTCTCTCTCTCTCTGTGAATTTCTTTCCCCAGAGAAGCCGCAGAGACACGGAGGGATGAAGCGAGAAGGGAGGTGACCATGAGAGAGAGAAGCGACTGCGTTAAACGGCGTGTAAATATATATCATAGCTGATGGAAACTATTGGGCTATTTTTATTGTTGGGCTTTTTTCAGACCTAAATTCTGGTTGGGCTCTTATTGGGTTTCCTCATTCGAGCCCAAATGTATTATTTGGGTAACAAGTCCAATGAATTCATAATACTTAATTTGCAAAATAAAAAAGTTAGTTATAGACAGCCTTTGGAAACAAATTACCAAACATCAATATAGTTTTAATTCCAAATTTATTCGAAATTGACCACTTTTCCACTCTTTCACAATTTCAAGTCATTATTAATAACACGTTTCCAAATAAACTGAACCTTGTTTTTCTCTTCACCTCTATACTATTACTATATTCTCCACTTTTTTAACCGGTGAATTTATCGCCCTACATGGTACATATCTAAACTATTTTAAACATTCATCTCATAACTTAAGTTCTGTACCTATTATTCATATTTTCTCTTTAATATTCTCATTTCTAATAATATCTATTTTTATGTGTCCGCATATTCATCTCAACATCTTCATCTTGACCATACTTATTTTAGATATATTATCCTTTTCCCGTCCAACATTCACTGCTATACACAAATATGTGTTTTATGATGGTACAGTGAAATTTCTTTCGATCGTACGAGAACCTTACAATCACAAAAAATTCCGTAAAAATTTAAATAAATATACTCTTGAATTCAAATAAGTGCGCTTAAATTTAAATTTAAATTTAAATTCAAATTCAAATTTAAAAGTCTAGATATTTTTATTCACTAAAAATATAGATGCTTTTCATTCTATTCGTATGTATTACAGAGCTTTTCTGGACACTTTTTTTTTTAAGTTGTGGAATGCGTTTTTTTTGGGTGGGTTTTGAATTGTTTACTTCTACGCTCCATTTTTTCTATAAATCTCGATACCAAAACAATCAATTTTGGATTTAATTGTTATAATAGAAACTTACCAAAAGTAAAACCGCGTTGATGTACGCAATTCTAATTAAAATCGAAACCCATGATCCAATACTTAAAATTCGATATCTTATAACATTTATGTAAGTCGAATTTAAATCTTATAGTTTATAAATTACAATTTAGTTTGCGAACCAAAAAAAAACAGCAAAACAGTTCGGTGGTTTTCTTGTGAAAAAAATATGTTCCTCTCCATCCTCTTTCAGTGTGCAGAAAACTTTCTTGGTTAGGTTGCATTTTTCTATATTTTACATTTTATAAGAAAAGAATAAAACGCTAATGTTCTTATTCTATGTGAATTGAATGAAAAAAGGGAACAACACATTTCTAAAACGACAGAAAACGGAAAAACATGAAACTACAACTAAGAACAAAATTATTCAAAAAGAATCGGTTTTAACCTTTGTCGATAATTTTGACTTAAGTGGATTAAATAATTAAAAGGTTGTAAAAATAATAATATGAAACCCACATTACATATGAATCAACTATTCAACATGAGTTAGCTAGGTTATAAATATGTTCAATATTGTATCATGTTAGTCTCTAATGAATTAAAACCCATTTTGACATCTTTGATGGGTAAGGGTACTAATATACAGCCAGTTTCCTTTATAAAATACTTTAAATTTTTCGTCTTGAATTTATGTAAATTTCTATATGTATTAATGTAATAAACTTAATCTTTAATCAATTTTAACAAAAACGGGAGATGAAAAAAAAAGATACTCCAATTATATATTTTTTTGGAAAATAATACTCCATTTATAATTATCCTTCAATAGTAAAGCAATACAAAAGGGGGAAGAATCTAGAATTGGTGAAGCTAAGGTTGATGAGCATTCAAAAAGCAGGAGTTCTCTCGAGAAAGCATCTTGCCCCAAGGAATTTATGCCAAAGCAGTGGAAATCATCGAATCTTACAACTTAGCCTCTTGTATATATATGTAAAACATATATTATATGCGTTCGTGTGTATATATTTTTATATATATATTCATACGAATATAAGAGAAATCCCAAGTGATTTGATAAAAAATATAGTCAACATAACGAGGAGTTGGGACCTGTCGTCCGTCAGTTACGGTTGATCCATTCATCTGTCACCCGTCAATTATAATTAATGTATCTCTTATATGTGTGTCGTGGATCCGTGTACGAAGACAGAAGGTTTTATCCAACCAGCGCATACGAAAGGCTATATAAAAAAACATAACTTTTGGTGCTCTCTTTATATCATAATGGATAAATTCCGAAACATATGTAAATTATTGCGCCATTGGTAAGACAAAACCGAATGTTTCTAGGCATTACACGTTTGGCTCTATGATTCCTTTACACGTGTGTGTGTGTATATATATACTCCAACACAAGCCAAGAGAGGCAAAGAAACTCGAGAGAGAGATGAGTTGGCTCCTAAAAGAAAGAAGAGGACCGGCATGGAAGCGAGGATGGTTAGAACAAACCCTACTGACGTTATCACCACCGCCGCTCCAGCTACTGGCCCTCTTCGCCATCATCTCTCTGCTTCTCTTCCTTTCTTCATATCCACGCTACAAGTACCAAGTGGAGAAAACTGCAACGAACCTCAAGCTCTTCCTCTTGTTCCTCCCCATGCTGTTCGTCTTGGTCGTCTTCTTCATCAGCTTCTTCCACAAACTCGTCTCGCCTTCCTCTTACTATATCAGGACCAAACGGGGGGAGCCGGTTTTCGGGATCGGTGGTGAGTTTCCTTGGGGGATAACGGTTATAGTAATTCTTCTTCTTGTGTTGGTCTCTAAACAATCGTACTTTCACTCTCTGTGGTATCCCACCCTTTGGTAATTTTACGTTTTTCTTGTGAAGAATGATAATATATATGAGATATACTATCTTACATTTTGGCTTCCGACAAGATCTGCGGAATAAACATTGTACTTCCCAGCTCACCAAATAATATATATGATACGACACATGGGCTCGGAATATCTGCCGAACGACCACATACATACACGTGAGGATATCAATGACGAGCTCATGACGGACGAAACTCGAGCTGCTGCAGCCCCTATCTTGTCGGAAACCAAAATCTTGCAGCACACAGAGAAGGAAACGAGACAACCAGTCAAGGGAAGAAGAGCATCTAATGTTATGTAATATTTTCTGCAGATTCTGTGCTGTCAAGTTGATACAATATGGGTGTCTTCTCCTACAGCTTTTTCTGTATAAGTATACGCCTTTATTCATAAGAAAAATAATAAGACTGCATAAGAACAGAAAGTCATCTTTACCTCTGCTCAGATTTTCTTCTCCTTCGATTTCTCTTCACAAACACCTTATTACGAGAAATCGTTTACGGTATCAGAGCCTTGACGATTCTTGACTCTGCTTCCGTTACTCTGTTTGAATCCTGTTTTGTTTCTTGGCCATCTTTTACCCCCAATCGACGTGGATACCCAAGATCGTACATAACACTCAGGCTGAATGGACACCATCGGCACAGACGACTCCCGCTGATGGCGTTGAAACAACAGATCTGAGCGAAAGAAGTGGAGCCAAGATGATGAGTTGGCACTCACCGTCCTGTAAAGCTTCTTGGATGAACACATCTTGAAGTCCTCTGTAGCCCTGGAGACGGCCAAGGCATTGTGGAACGCTCTCCAAAAGGTCTGTGGTAATTTGTCCAATCCCAACCGAGTTTTTGCAATAAAGAAGCAGATGTCTAACCTACAACAAAACGGGAAGTCGTAGCCCTGTGGACAGAATTAGAAGACTTACGTCCAACCTCTGTTGATGTGAATGGGTTCAAAGATAAATTGCCCTCCTATGATGATGCTTGTATGCTGATAAAACGAGAGGAATCTCATTTTCGAAAACATAGTTTTCCTGCTAACTCTGTTTCAAAGGACATAATGGCTATGAAAGATTTACCGTTAAAACAGCATGCAGCAGCCCAAGCTTATATCAATAGAAATAACATCATATTAACATTAATATCCGAAGCAGCATCTCGCAAGCCGTGATGGAGAGATGGTACAGAAGATGCAAACAACACAGACGTAAAGGGAAGAAATGTGAGATGACAAACATAGATAGGTTACTGCCAAGGAGAAAGTCTTGTAGAGATAGAGAGAATTGGTTGGTTTTTTCTTCTTTACTCAAAGGCCCATTGGTTCTCGCGGCGCACCTCCTCCTCTTCCTCTGGGGTGAAGTCATTCTTGATGTTGAATGTTTTTCGAATCTCTTCCGGAGTTTTACCTTTGATCATGTCCGCAACAGTCTGACACGTCAAGTCCAATAGCCCCTTGATGTTCAGATAGTTAGCGGCCTACAATGATTTTGGGCAAACAGAAAAAAAATAACATGAAAAGGTGTATGGCTTTCAGAATCAGAATGGAACTCAAACTCAAGTGAAACACATAAAAGAAAACCAGCAACCCTGACATGTGTTAGATTTCAGGTCCAAGAAGAGATGCATTTCTTCACCCTTGGGAGCAGTCGTCAAGTTCTTCAAACAAGAAACATCAACATTGGCTTCTACATGGATTCAATTACCCACACCAAAATCCCTTCTCCCATTCAAAGACCAAAAAGTGTTATATGAGCTTGAATATGCAATGAAGCACAACACATCGCTCCGTTCCAGGACATGGCAAATGTTCAAACATCATTATTAATAGGCGAAATGGATTTAAAAATTAACACAACCATTCATATCAAGGTACAAGAAAGAAGAAAAATTGACATCAAACTTTCGTTCAACATGGGACTGAAAAGGTGTTCCAAACTATGATGATAGTTCAAACAAATTTCTGAGACCGTCTTGGATCAGACAACAGATCAACAGAGAGATGAAGGTCCAAAGAATAAGGCTTCCCACAGGCTAAATAACTCAAAAAACAAATCAGTTTCTCATTTAATCCCACAGTAAACCAATCCCCACATGAACTCGATCACCGAGACAGATTGTAAGAGATCTAAAAACCCTATAATACTGCATCCCGGTGCCGTAGAACCCTAATCCCTACATTCCAAATCAAGACTCCTCAGAATTAACCCTTATAATCTGAAACCCCAACCCTTATTCTCTGATCAGGTACCAGAGACTCCCAATAAATCAGCCCTAAATTCCACATCGATACCCATGAGAACCCTAAAATACGACATCAGGATCCCAAAACCCTAGAGCGACACAATAAAGGAAGCCGAAGCAATCAATACCACAGGAAAATCAGATCTAGGAAAATATCAGAGGCGAAACAGAGATGGGAGCACGAACCAGGATGAGATCGAAGAGGGTGGCCTGGTCCACTTTGACGAACTCGGCGTCCCAGTTCTTGAGATCGTCATCGGTGGAATAGGTAGTTGCGGTTTCGGTCTTAACGGAAGCGTCGACGTGCTTCTTGCAGTACTCGATCACCTTCGAGAGGATCTTGCTGGTGACGTTTGGGAGGGGGATTCCATTGTCGGCGCAGTCGTCTTCGATCATATGCTTGATGGTTTGCGACTCCAAAGCCACGGCTTCATCGACCTCAAACGTCTCCCCGTCGGAGCTTTTCAACGCGATTTTTCTTCCCGACATGGTTTCTGATTCACGGACACAGGAAGGCGAAGAGGAGGAAGAATCGAGAGAAGAAAGAATAACCCGTAGGTTTCATCTAAAAGTTTTACGCATATATATTATTTTTCTTTATTTTAATTGTACGGTATTAAATGCTGATTGTTTTCTATTCCTTTCTCCCTCGTTGCGGAATTGAATTATGAATTACAGGTAGTTGCGGTTCAAAACAATTCGGGAGATGAGAACATAAGCGAAACTTCGAGAAGAAATATAACACGTGTCTTTCTCTATATTTCTGATATCTTAAGGACATTAACTTTGGGTTTGCCCGGCTTGGCCCACTGCCATCCGGCAAAATGCCACCGTCTGCTTCTACCGCTTCCTCTCAGGTGACGAGTGAGCTTACCGGCCCTTATCGGCCCTGTCGTCGCCTCCTCAGGTCCGAATCTGGGAAACCTGACTGCCGCTCAGCAGGAGCTCTGATGGCTTCTCGCACCGAACCTCTTCCTCCTTGCGGATCCACTCTCCCGAGTCAGGTTAGTCCGATACAAATCTACGAACATGACCACGGGTAGTCGCCGAACGGCTAGGCTGCGGGAAATACATCCTTGACCTCAGCTTTAGGAGCTGTACCACCAACAGAAGGCCAAGTGCCTACCCAATCTTTGCCCAGATCCGCGGTTACTCAACCAGCCTCACACTCCACGAGTGCGGTGGTTGAAGCCTCGGGAAAAGGGAAAATCAGTCCGAACTCAGTAGGAAAACAACACCTGGAGCAAGCTATTGCAGAGTTCTATCAAGACTCTGCGGAAAACTGGAGCCCCATAAACTCATCGCACAGGTACTTCGTTAGTTAATTTTACAGCTGACATGCTCCAAGCCTCGAGCAAGGAGTGGGACAATTTCATAATTGGGCAATTCTACGGACAAGATTATCGGGGTAGTAAACACAATTTGGGCGAAGGGCGGGCCTAGGATCAAAGTTCACAGCATAGTAAAAGGGCTTATCTCTTCAAGATACTGAGTGCGCGTCTAAAATCCTCCATTCTTATGCGAAATTTATGGTATGTTGGTGACTGTCCAATGTTCATTACTGAATGGGACCCGACCCACAGGCCAGATAAACCTGCTCTGCGATCAGTTCCGACATGGGTTACACTAACAAATCTTCCAGAAAAGTTGTTTAACTCAGATAGTTTGGCCAGACTGGCATCGTGTATTGGAGAACCGTTGTACCTGCACCCGGTAAGTGATGCAAAGGATTCTTTTAGTTTCGCCAAGATTTACGTGGAGGTTAGCATGGCTCAATCACCCCCAAAACATATAGCAATTACACTGCCCGGGGAGGAGGAAAGAATTATCCTGGTTGCTTATGAGTGGCTCCCACCTAGTTGTGCTCATTGTGCTGAACTAGGGCACGTCGCTAGGTACTGCCCAAATATCCCACAACCGGAGAATGATAACCAACCAATGCAGTCGCACACCCAATGGAGAAGGAGGCAGTCAAGCTCTGACAAGGGAAACAACCATGGAAATCAGGAAGGGGATGAAGCAAAATCAGGTATAGTAGAACAAAGGAAATCTGAGCATCTGAGTAAGAAAGCTGATCCAGCCATAGCTACAGAGCAGAGTACAACTACTGGTCCTACTGAGTTGAGGAACACAACTAACATGGAAATTTCCCAAGAAGGGAGAGTAAACAAGCCACCACATGACCACTCCTGAAGGGGGTCAGACTGAACCATTCAGTCAGACTGCCAATCAGTTGGGAAAAATGAAGAACAAACCAAATTCAAACACATGTCAGAGATCAGATTTTAGCTTGGGTAATACATCTACTTCAATGTGCAAGAAGGGGGCAAATGTAAAAGACACAGATGATGGCTTTAAGCTTGTAAAGCCGAAAGATCGTGGTTGTAAAACCACACAGAAGAACCGCCCTTGACCCACAAAGCTTTGTTGGAACACAAGAGGATTGAACGGCAGGAATAAGAGTCGTAGCGTTAAGCAATGGATTACAGACCACATGTCAGTCGACGACCTTTTGGAGTCACATATCAAACCGCCAAACGCTACAAGAATCCTCTCGGCAGTTCCTTTGGGATGGAGAACGTTTTGTAATCATGGAGCAGATCCATCCAGCAGAATTTGGGTGATTTGGGATCCATCTATAGTACTCCACATTTACAAAGCTTTCGAGCCAAGCAGTCACTTGCGGGATATTCGACCCCGCTCTACAAATAACTATTGCAACAACTTTTGTCTATGTGAAGAATACGACATCATAAAGGCGAGCAGTTTGGGAGGAAATTTCAGAGCTCAGTTGACATCAGCTGATACAAGGCAGTGCCTGGGTAATAGGGGTGACTTCAACCAAGTGTTATATCACAATGAAAAGTCTGATCATGGAATTATGAATGCCTCATCACAAGGAATGCAAGATCTAAGGAATTGCATCGGAACAACGAGACTTTCAGATATGCAATATAGGGGGTTGCACTATACATGGTGGAACAACCATCAAACAGACCCGGTGGCATTTAAACTCGACAGGGTACTCATAAATGAAAATTGGTTTGAACGCTTTCTGACAGCTTACACGGAGTTCCGGGCACCTGGTCCTTCAGACCATTCACCGAGTATTATTTGCTTCCCCGACATAATAGTGTAGGTTCGAAAATCTTTTAATTTTTTCCTGCATGTTGCTCTGCACCTGAACTTCCTGCAGGTGGTTCGAGAGAACTGGAATTATGACAGCATGGTAGGGACAACACATGAAAGACTGAAGGGATCTCTCAAGGACCTCAAAAAACATTTGCGGAATCTGAATCAGAGTAACTTTAGCAACATTTCTCAAAGAGTGAAGCAGTTGGGAGCTGCACTATCAGACATTCAAGATCAGCTTCTACACACCCCTACACCTGAGCTAATACAGACGGGGCATAAAGCCTTATGATGGCGGTAGAAGAAAACTTCATGAGGCAGAAATCCAGGGTGCAATGGTTAAAACTAGGAGACAGAAACACAGGGTATTTCCATCGAGATGTGAGAGGTAGAACAACAAGAAACCAGATCCATTATTTGATTGATGAAGAGGGAATCAGGCTTCAGAAAATGCAGGAGATTAAGAATCACGCCATTGACTTCTATACCAAATTGTATGGGAACAACCACGAGGTGTTGGAACATATTCAGTTTGACATATTCAGTTTGAGGAATTGAGGGAACTTCTGCCATTTAGATGCTCAGACTGATGGATGTGATGTTCTAGGATGATTATACGATATGAGAACTATGTTTGATACGATGATTTCATTGGATGAATGCATTGTTTGTTCATTATTTATTTTGCATATTTGATAAATAATGTTATCCATGGATCGTTATGAATGATCCTAAATTCCTTAGTCGCTTGTCATTGTGGGAGCAATATGAATTAAGACTAACATGAGGCGTGATGGATGATCATGACGATGATCATGTGTATTGGATACGGATCACGGTCATGAGTACTTGTTTGGAACAAGTGACTAGATGACTCGCGTGAGATTATCGATTGGATTTAATCCATGACTTGAATGTCACTTGATGGTTCACTTTGGATCCTCAAACCTGAGATATCTATTGTATCCATCATGAGGAGTAATGTACTTTGACTGCGTCAAACGTCGTCTTTAACCGGACGATAGTAGATAGTCAAGATGGAACTTTGTCCCTATCGAAAGAGAGAGATATCGCTTGGGGCCGTCGTAGGAGTGAAACTGCAGAAATGTGTGGCCGCACTATAGATGAATATCATCTATCTCTTACAGTTTACTGGGGATACGACAAAGCAATCGAACTATGAGTTCGATTGTGATATCGTGAGACAAAGAGGATCATCGTTGGAGCTATCTTTGGCTTTTCGGTTAGATCACATCTAACTCTTTCCGATACGGGTAATCATAATGTCTTGCTAGAGACCGCTTATGATTTGTAAAGCGAGATTGAATCTCGCGTTTACTGCCGTATTCGGAGGAGTCTAAAGGGTCACACACATATGGGATGGACGTGTATGTACGGGATCGATCGGACGAGAAAAATCGGATTTTTCTCCGTTTTGAGGTCTGGTCCGGAGCTGACCAAGAGTTGGTCAGCCGGACCAGACAGACTTGGGAGAAGCGGATCAATTTGGCCGAGATAACTGGCTGGTTCGGAGCTGACCAAAAGTTGGTCAGTCGGACCAGACCAGTCAGTCGGAGCGATTCATGTTGGTTGGTCCGGTGGACCGGAATCTTGGTCCGCCGGACCAACTGGTCAGGCTGACTGAGGGCGAGATCCGGATCGTGTTTGGTCCGACGGACCAAAACTTGTTCCGTCGGATCGCGGACTGTCGGCAAGCTCGGATTTTACGTGTTCTTGGTATGGCTGACCAAGATTGGTCAGCTCCGGACCAAGACACTGAAAAATCCGAACTTCGCATTTTCTCGCCTTTTTCTTGGTGGGAAGCAGGTGGAGAACGTTAGACTCAACCTAATCCCGACCTTTAGCCATCTGAGAGGCTAGGGAACTCTGGAGAAACTCTCTCAAACTCAAGAAGGTGTTCTTGAGTGTTGGTTTAGTGCTCTATGATGTACTGTTTATGAGCTTTCTTTAGATACATTCGATGTATTGATACTTTCTATGGTTTTATGAGAGTATTTGATTCATTACATGTTCTTGCATACTAGATCTGTTATGAAATCCATGTATCATTATGAATGATACTAAACTCCCTAGTCTTGTGTCGTTATGGGAATAACGACATAATAAGACTAGTATGATGTGTGATTGATGATCATAGAGATGATCATAGGTATTGGATACGATCACAGTCATAGGTATTCGTTGGAGAACGGAATACTGGATTGACCCGCATGAGATTGTCACATGGACTAGCGTCATGACTTGAATCTCATATGGCGGTTCCATGATTGGATCCTAAGACCTGAGATATCTACGGAATCCAACATGAGGAGTTGCGTGCTTTGAATACGTCAAACGTCCTGCGTAACAGGAGGATTATAAAGGCGTGTATCAGGCACGAAATGAATCATGTACTGGATTGTAGATAGTCAAGACGGGATTTATACCTCTCGTAAAAGAGAGAGATATCGCTGGGCCCCTCGTGTGAGCGAGACTGTAGAAATGTGTGGCCGCACTATAGACGAACGTCGTCTATTTCAGACAGTCGAACTCAGTGAACGAGAAACCAGTCGAATCAGATAAGGTGGCTT